CCTCGTCCTCTGCCGGGCCCTCTTCTCAGGATCCTGTCGGCGACCGCCCTTGTGCATCTTCCTCGACCAGTGGTTCCCTCCCTACCTCTAGTGGTTCTAGTGGTTCTAGGACCTTAAGGTTTAGGCCCTCAACCCCTGCACCTGTGCCCAGCACTGTGTCATCTGACAGCTGCAGTCGCTTCTCCACATGATGCCTGCAATGTCCGATCAAATGCAAAGCCTGGCCCAGCGGCAGCAGGAGCTCGAAGCCCGTGTCACGGAGACGCAATCGGCCCCTCCTGTGCCTCTTCACCGCCAGCCTTTCCAGCTTCCAGTTGCAAAGGGCCCACCTGTGCCTGGCCTATCTCCCTTTGGAGCGTCCTTGGGCCCCCCACCGAAGATCAGACAGCCGCCAAATCTTGCAGCACCTGCCGAGACCAATTGCGTGGGTCCGCAGGATGCCCCAGCTTCTCCCTTGGCCTCCCCTTCCGATGCCCCCCAGGGCTTAACCCGTGCGTTGCATTCTCAGGGAGAGGAATGTTGGTCAACCACCTCATCTCCCAGGCCTCCGAGGCCTCAGGCGACTTCAGCGCCGGCCCTGGCGGGTCCGCAGGTTTGTCCTCAAAGGCTAGGGAGAAACTCCAGGAGGAGCTGGCTGCAAGCACGGGGGCCTTCATGCTTGCGGTGGCCCAGAATGGTTTCCGCCGGATGTTCCCTGCCCAAGCAGTCCCAAAGACCCTAGAGGAGATGATGCAAGAGCCCCGTGCCTTCCTCTTCAGCCAGTACTTGGAGCGCTACGGAGGGTATCAGCAGCAGAGGGACTTCGGCGTGATGATGTTCATGCTCAGTCAGATCGCCGATCAGATGTTAGCCGGCAACTACCTCGGAGCCATGGACCGGCTTTCCCTTATGATTGTGGCTATCGAACAGGCGGCGCAGGATTCGGGAAAGTGGGAGGTCGCCTATACGCTTTCCCTCTTCCCCGACCCGCCTCACACGATCTTTCAAGGAAGGTCTACGCCTTACAACTTTCGTGTGCGCGCTTGGGCCCCGTTATGTCCGGCCCCCTGGGCCACTGTTGCGCTTGCCTACCTCAAGGAAGCGGACTCAATACTTGCCCGCCGCTCCGAGGCGAATGCAAACGCTCCTCCTCCAAAGGCAACCGACGACGGAGCCGAGCCGCCCAAAAAGCCTCGCCGACCCAGGTTTCCAAAGGCCCCAAAAGCGGACAAGTAGGTCCAGCGCCCGTGCCTTTGCATCATCAGTCTTCTCCTTCGCCGCATGAAGCCAATGCCACTCGCAGCTCTAATTCACCTTTAAGCCCGGGTTTGACCCCCTTGTCGGGGGCCGCCCCTCAGGCGACGCCTTGCCCGCCCCAGGCAGCCTCAGCACAGCAGCCGCCTTTGCAGGCTCAGCGCCCGCCTCGGCTAACCTTTCGTAGGTGGTCTTTGTCTTTTGCATTCCGCGTATTGAAGACCAGGACGCCCTTTGCCGCCTTCCTGGCCAGTGTTTTGCACCTTACTCAGGGTGGCTCCCAGCCCTCTGCCAAGTCTCTGTTCCCGATGCCCATGCCTTTCTTTGGCATTTTTGGCCCTATCGACCCGCAGATGTGCAGCAGGTCCCGCCATCGCATAGGAGTTAGGCGGGTTGTTGTGGTTACCGTAATGGCCCTCAACTACTTGCATTCAGGTGGGTCCTTCCCATCGCATGCTTCCCTGCGGAGGCCGCCCAATGCAGCTCAAGCCAAAGCCTTTAGCTACATCGAGCGGCTCGTCAGAGCTTGCGGCGCCACGGAAGGCATTGACGTGCCAACCGCGTCGCGCCGATCTTCTGAATTGATTGCACGTTTGACCCAGGCGTCCGACCACCTTTGTAAGATCGGCTCCTCTTTTGATGCCTATGGCCCTGCCTTCCCTGGCTTGGACTTGGACTCTTCGGCGTTGCATGACGCCCTGCACCCATTCCGCAGCCTTGATGCCTCACGCCTCGTGTTGACGGGCAGCGGCCAGTGGGATGCTGCCAAGCACATGGACGATGAGCTTTACCTGGCTTATGTAGAGCCTGACTCTTTCCTCCGGCTGAGGGCTCGGGAGCCTCGGCCAAGTGAGGTTCCAGCCATTGGACGCGATCCCCCCTCTGAGCTAAAGCGACGCGCTTTGCTCGCGGAGGCCCTGCTAAAGCTAAGCCTAGCGACCTCGTGAAGGCTGAGGGGTCTAGCTCTGCGCCTGCGATGGTGCAGCAGGCAGAGTCAACAATGTCTTTTTCCTCCGACCCGAGCAGGCCCTCCTTCTTGTAAACCTCCTTTGCCTGAGACAGGCACCTGGAGCCTTATCCGAGGGTTCGGGTGGACCCAGAGGGGCTTGGACATGAGAGATGGCGTAGTAATCATCTATCACTAGACCCTCGAGAAGACCCACCTAGGGGAATTCGGGTGGGCACCTAGGATCCTAGAAGACCTATCGAGGAGCCCTCCACTAGCCAACAGGTTGGCATGAGCCGACCAGGCGAACTCAACGCCTAGCGCATCACCCTGCGTGACTGCACCAAAGCCTGCAAAGAGGTAGCTGTCAAGAGCAGGTGAGCTCTGCTTGGCACGGGGGAGGGGATCAGGCTCGGCAAGCCCAAGGTGGTCCCCCTCGGACTCGCGGTGCTGAGGTCCTGCGAAGGCAGAGGTCTTTGCCAACTCAAAGGCCGGAAGAGACGGAACAAGGATGTTTCTCCTGGCACGCTGTTCCGTCACATGGTAAAAATCTTTCCTGACCGTGGCGTTCAGGGACAGGCGTTCGCACGAAGGAGAGATGCACAATGAGGTGAGTACAGGCCACACGGAAGGAACCTGCCGCCTGTCCGCAATCATGCGGTCTGTTGACAGGTTCTTAAGGGCGTTGAACACCTTCACCCCCTCATGAGGCCTACTTGCATCAGGCCCCGAAGCAAACAGACGGAGTAAGTTCTTCGAGTCCCAGAGCAATGCAAGGCGCAGCGCCAGCAATTTCTTTGGAAGCCTGCCGACTGACTGCTACTAGCGACCACTTACACCTCTGTTTGTTAGGTGGTTGGGTGTCTGCTTGCATGTATAGACGTCCCTGCATGTCCGCCCTACATGCCGCCTTTCATTTGGTAGATGCTCAGGCCGTAAAGCCCTCATCGTCCCGCATCATGCCTCTGCCTCGCCGTGTCGCGGATGAGATTGTTCTCGTGTCAGCACTGTGCCACCTGATAGTCGCCGACATTGCCGCTCCGTGGTCTGACGTCCTCTACGCCACGGACTCATCAGATGCCAAAGGGGCCATTGTGTCTACCACCCTTCTCGCCTGAGGAGACGGAACGCCTTTGGACAGCGTCCACCAAGCTAGCCGAGCCGGCCAAGCTCCTTTCACGTGAGGCTGCAGCACTTAGGCGTGTTGACCCCATGACCGAGGAGTTGCTGGGGCTCCCTTTCCCTTCCCACGTCTGGGGTCCTAAGAAGTCCCCTGCCCTTCGTTTTCATTTCATTGAAATCTGCGGCGGGACTGGGAAGTTAGGGGCTTTCCTTGTTAGCATGGGTTGGTCGGTAGGGCCTCTCCTTGACCTATCATCCTCCCCTCAGTACGATTGGGCATCGGATCGCGTCTTTGCCTGGGTATGCCACCTGGTCGAATCCGGCCTGGTGGATTCAGTTTTCATATCCCCTCCTTGTACAACGTTTTCAGCGGCGGCTTTTCCGGCCCTTAGGACTTTCCGTAATCCTTTTGGCCACAACCCCAAGCACCCCAGAGCTCGGCTCGGCACAGTCCTTGCCTTGAGGTCCCTGTGCCTTATGTATGTGTGCCACCGGCATAGCATCCCGTGCGCCTTAGAGCAGCCACGCAGTAGTAAGATGGCATCCTTGCCCTCTTGGAAGGCCATCGCGGCATTGCCTTCAGCCAGGGAGGTATTCACGGTAGGATGTGCCTTCGGCGTGGCCCATATGAAGCCCTGGCGCTTCCTAACTGTTTGCATGGACGCCTCTCATGTTGCCAGGAGGTGCACTAGGGATCACTCTCACGTGAGAGTGCAGGGCAAGTTCACTAAGGGGTCTGCGGTGTATCCCGACGCTCTCGCCCTTGAGTTGGCCAGAGTGTACTCCGATGCCATCCGCACCAGATTGTTGGCTCTCGAGCAGTCTGCCCTCAATTCTGATGGCTTGGAGTCCCCCTATGTGAACGAGATCGCTATCAGCAGTGAGTGGGAGACAGTGAAAGTATGGCACTGGCGCCGCCCGACCCACATAAACTTGCTTGAGACTGCCAGTGTCTACCGCCTTTGCAAGCACCTCGCCTTCAAGTCTGGCCCTGTGCGCTTCTGCTCCCTTTGCGACTCCAACGTAACTCGCTGCGCAGTCTCCAAGGGAAGATCGCCTTCCCACGGCCTCACAAAAGGACTCAAGCGTGTAGCTGCAGTGTGTCCTGAGTTTTGGACTCTACCCGCAGCTGCCCTTCTGCCCAACTCGGTTGATGCCAGCCGACCACCCTACCAGGGACGCGCCATTCCCTCTGCCAGGCTGTTCCTTTGTGTCTTCAGGAGCCTCTCGCGATCAGCTCGCTCTCCTGCATGCGCTCCCCCGTGTGAGACGCTGGCTGGCCAACTGGGTCAGGCTCGTTTGCCTCCTCTTGCCTGCGCTACCCGTGTTTGGTCCTGACCGCCGCGACCGCACATACGTCCCATCTCCCCTCGACTTTGATGCCATACTTGGCTTCCCCGACGAAGGGCCTTTAGGGGGGTTCTGGTTTAGGGGTTGCCTTCCTCTCCTCCTCCTTGTCCTGTCCGTCTGTCTTTGTCTGAGCCATGGCATGCGACCGCGCAACACAGGTGACGAGCTGAGACGAGCTGCCCGAGATCCTGTGCCTCTCCCGCAGGGGCGACCGGTTGAAGCAAAGACCCAAAAGTTGAGGGATCGACTCTGGAACCAGTTCTTGGAATGGCTTACTGTAAATCGCATTGACAAGGCCCTTTTC